TTCTTCTTCTTCTTCTTCTTCTTCTTCTTCTTCTTCTTCTTCTTCTTCTTCTTCTTCTTCTTCTTCTTCTTCTTCTTCAACATCATCTTCATCTTTTATCCATTTTACAGTACTGTACAAAATCTTTTACATGCAATCTATTCATTGATCTTCTTCTTCTTCTTCTTCAACATCATCTTCATCTTTTATCCATTTTACAGTACTGTACAAAATCTTTTACATGCAATCTATTCATTGATCAGTTGGCAATTGAGTCCTCTATTATTATTATGATTCAGGCTCTTTGGAAATCAGGTGGAAAAAATTAAATTTAGGTTTCATTTTTATACAAGTTTAATGTAATTGTTATGATGGTTGGTCACACAATCAGCCAAATGTTTAAATTGGATTTGCCATTTTTATCCAGCTATCAAGTCCTTCCTGATGAAAGAGGCAGGTTTTTCTTTTAATATTATTACAGGTGTCATCCCAGGATGTAAGCTGTTTCAAAGTAAAGCTGCCTTTTGCAATTGACTGATGAGGATTGTTGTCAATGCTGATAGTGTTCAAGAGTTGTTGGATATGGTGCTAGTCAATCATTCAGACTCTTGGTGGCTTTTTAATTCATTAACTGGACAAAGCTCTATTGGCTTTCAATCTCCCCACCTTCCTTTACTTTCAACCTGGTTCCCTAATTTCTTAATTAAAAAATAATCCCCATGGAAATAAATATCAGAGGAAGATAGGAAATCAAAAATTGTTTACCTTCCATCCTGTCGGCTGATGGTGTAGCCATAATCACTGTGATGCTGGAAGCTCACATTGACCCCAACAAGAGGGGTCCCATCAACTGCTACCACTTGTCCACGGATAACACAAGCACGTCTAGGTGAATAAAAGAGGGAGTTGGCCATGAAGTAAGATGCTAAACTGACACACTCTTTATCTGCATAATGTATTTCACAAGCAATATGTTGTAAGGCTACAAGAAGCACAACTCATATCATACTTGTGTCCTTCCCTGGGCCACCCTCTTTTTCCCCCAGTTCTGAAAGAGGTGGTCAGCCAGAGAAGCTCAGGACAAAATGCAACGAAAGTGTTTTTTTTTTAAAAAATGGACATAGGAAGAAACTTAGGGATGATTCACACCCTGGCCAGTGTCTCTTTTCACTTTTACCATCGGGCAGAAGACATCAAAGTATAGCCAGCCAGAAAAACAGGTTTAAAAACAGCTTCTACACATGGGCTGTCAGACTCCTAAACACAATCACAATCACTCCACATACATCTGGAAAAGTATGAGTAGTTGTTTTTTTCCTCTTCCCAATTACTTGTCTAAGGATTATTCTCTATACTATTCATGTTGTCTTGTATTTTCTGTTATGGATCGCACCAGTAGAGGCAAAACCAATTTCGTTGCATACATGATGTACAGTGACAATAAAGGCTATTATTATTATTATATACTTAAATACATTAAACATGAAACTCAGTCAACTGAACATTCAAAAATGAATCACAAATACCAGTGACTGGTGCTAATGGTTGATACGGATTGCTGCCAGTGTCCTAGGTATCAACCAAGTACCTTTTTAAAATATATGATGTTCCAAGTTATGAAGTTTTTTTGCAGTTCCGCTGTTGTTATTGCAGGAAGCTGCAATTGTTGTTGTTGTTGTTGTTGTTGTTGTTATTATTACACAATTGTATCACAGCGGCCAGTTGTTTCGCCGGATTTGGCATTGGTTACTAGTCGGGCCCCACCCAGGGGCCTAGAACGTCATAACGTATTTTCATAATATGCGTGCAGATCCAAGCAGTGTGGCTTTTTGCATTTGACTGATGGTGATTTTGTCAATTTTTAACTGTTTTAAATGTAATTCCAGTGCTTTTGGAATAGCACCCAGTGTGCCAATTACCACTTGAATTACCACGGGTAATTGTTGTTGTTGTTGTTGTTGTTGTTGTTGTTG